CCCCCCCCCCCACCCCCCCCCCCCCACCCCCCCCCCCCCCCCCCCCCCCCCCCCCACCCCCCCCCACCCCCCCACCCCCCCCCCCCCTCCCCCCCCCCCCCCCCCCCCACACCCCCCCCCCCCCCCCCCGCCCCCCCCCCCCCACCCCCCCCCCCCCCCCCCCCCCCCCCCCCCCCGGGGGGGGGGGGGGGTAAAATCATTTATACTTTTATTTGTCAAATATGATTTTTAGGCCGAAATATAGCATTAACTCATTTTTTTATTTTTTTATTTTTCCGGCAGTTTCCCATATGGTAAGTTTTTTATTTTTTAATACTTTTTTTCTTTAAGTGATCTTTGACCAGAACTCTGTTCTTCATGTCTAGTAAGTTTACTTTTAAAGAAATAAAAAATCATTACTATTTCTCTTTTTCTTATAGGATTCTTCGCTAGATTAAATAATATTTAATTACCTATTTTTTTTTATTATTTTTTTTTCAAGGAATGTTACTGTAATTAGCTAGCTCCGGCTGTAAATCACGTGACGCTAGCCCGGTTACGCGTAAGAAAAGTTGAAATTTTTATTCAAATCGCTACATTCCGGTTTTTATTTTATTTTATTTTTTTCTTTTTTTTTTCGAAATTTAATTTCGATCATATTTATAATTATTTATAAAATAAAAACAAATCTATTTTAATACGTGATTTTACTATCAAACCAAACTAATATTATAATTTTTCAAAACTTCTTTTGCTTTTAGTTGACCTTTTAAAGCAGCCAATTTTAAATATTGAATACCCTTGTCATGATCCTTTTCAATATTCAACCTACCATTTAAATATATTTCACCAAGGTTATAAAGAGCAGTAGAATTTTCATTATTGGCTGACATTTCCAAATATTTTAAAAAGGTCAAAGTATCAATATATTCATTTTCCTTATCAATCAAACAAAAAGCGTAACGTAATTGAGCATCTGCATTTCCACCATCAGCAGATTCTTTAAATAATTCTTTGGCCTTTTCGAGATTTTTTTCAACGTACCTTCCTTCTAAATAATAATAACCTTGCCAGTATTTCCCCAACATATCTCCAACATTTGCATGCTCTTCAAAACATTTCCAAGCCATTTCATAATTTTTTTTTTTATGAGCCACCAAACCTTCCTTGAATGGAGTTATTGGTATAATAGAATTATGAACTGGAATTGAGAAATTTGGTTTATCCTCATCAGAATTCTTTAAAATATGTTTTTCATATAATTCTTGTAGCATATTGAAAATTTGTTGAATTCCTGGACGTAATGATGGTTCTTGTACCCAACCAAGTTTAATAATTTCACAATACTCTGTTTGAATCGGACGCGATATAGAGTCAAACGTTTCTCGATCACCTTTTTGAACATGCTTTTGTATCTCTGTTATGTTCATATTTTCATATGGTTTTTTCTGAAAGCCAAGTTCCCAAAGAAGCATTACAAAACTAAAAAATATTTTAATGAAAAGTAAGAATTAAAAAGGAATTCTTTTTTTTTTAGGGAAAAAAATTTTTTTTAAAGAAAATTGAAACGACTCTACTGACCTAAAAATGTCGCATTGGATGGTATAACTACAAGCTTTATCTTTCGTACCAGATATATTTTCTAATTTTTCAGGAGCCAACCAATGAACTATAGCATTCATATCTTCAATTTGACTGGTGGCAGCATTAAATTCACGAGAGAATTTGAAATTGCATAGTTTGGGTTGCATTTTTTCGGTAATTAGCACGTTCTCACACCTAATATCATGGTGCAATATCTCCACTACCAATAAAAGACAAATTTACGTTAAAATTTTTAAGAATGACACGTCTTTAACAAAGAAAGAATCATACCTGTATGCAAAAAAATCAACCCACGACAGATATCTCTTGCGAAAGAAATCTTTGCATCCCATCCAATAATATAATTCTGATATAATTCGCATAAAGTTCCGTATTCGGCCCATTCAAAAACCATTACATCGCTTGTATCTAATCTTGATAGTCCAAAAAATTGAATAATGTATGGACAAGCTTTCAATTTTCTCAAAATAGCAAGATGCCTTTGGTTAATCTTGTCCGTAGAAAAGTATTTACAAGCAACGTATTTTTCTTTATAAATTTTTTTCAAAACCCTTACATTTATACCTTTACGCGAATCTGGCTCTGCAGTATCTTTCAATTCCGAAGGTTCAATTTGTCCATTAAGTTCAGTTTGTCCATTAATATCAACTTCAGATTTTGAACATTGATTGGTTTCATTCAGATAGCGAATCGTATCAATTTCCCCGTTGATCGGAGTAAATTCATGTTTGTCCTTGCACGCCTTGTATTCTCCTCCTATATTATTAACTTTAACAGCGATTTTTTTATTATTTTGAACATGTAAATCGGTGGGATGATTCATCATATATGTAATACCACCTTCAATTTTGTCTAGAAATTTCATCATTTCAATAAGATCAGAATTTAAAATTGAACTCAATTGTTCATTCGTAATAGCCAACTTTAAATTTAAAAAATTCGAATAATTATCAAAGTCTTTTATAATCTTCTCAAAAGATTCTTTAATGATCCCAATTGAGACAAATTTTTTAAATTTCGATAATTGAGAAATATCACTAGAAAATTCTTTAATTTGTTTTAGACAGTTTGTCAATTTAGAAAAGGTATTGTAATAACTCTGACTACAAAATTTATTCAAATTATCATCCCTTTGTCTTATCAATCCTCTAATTGTAACTTCTACAGCCTCAACTCTCGTTACTAATGCCCCACAAGTTTTTTTATTATATTGAACGTTCTCATATGCATCCGCTATGTCTTTTGTTACAGTAGTTATCGTAGTTACGAGAGGTATGAAAGGTGCAACTATTTCGTTTGCGCATTTCATCAATAGTCCCCTAAACGTTTTAAATTTGGACCTAGAATCTGGATCTGGATTAATGAAAGGAAGGTAGAAAATTTAACGAACGAGAAAAAGGTTTAAAATAAAATTTGTACGTTTACATACCATCAAGTACTGCTAGATTATCTTTAGTCAAAGTATGTCCAAATAAATCTAAAGGATACTCAATCTTCACATGATCAATCTTTAAACTTCCGTTACTTGAACGTAATATACAGATATCTAAGTCTGTATCAATAATGGTTGTTTCGTTATCTTCCCCATATTGAGAGTCAGAGTCACTATCAGAAATTATATCTGAATTCGAACTTTTCAAAGTTGTTTTATTATTATAAGTTGATTCCTTTATTTGAAACTTGATTTGATCATTTGACCATTCAGATAGCTTAATATCATAAGTTGTTGATGAATGGAATGCATCAACGAGAATACTATATCCATGAGATAAAGGAATGTGAGTTTTAACGCCATATATTGATTCGTCTTGTTGATAAGTAATGGATTTTTTAATACGATCGACTTGAATTTCTCGATGATTTGGACTAAAAACCGATAATTTCATAGGATTCCCAACTATCATCCATAAAACAGAACAATCTCTAACATTGATCTTTGATTCTCGTAAAGTTTTTATCATTGCAGAAAATCCATTAGCATCATAGAATCCAAATTTTATAAAATAATCATCTATCTTTTTGTCTCCTGAAACTATTGATCCAAATACTTTATAATCTTTATCATTCAATATCGGTTCTATATTTATACGTTTGTAATGCTCAATATTGTTACTGTCTAAATCTTTTAAATCAGAAATTCCGGTCATAATAATTTTGTCAATATCCTTATTGAATAAATTGTCTATCTCTTTCTGTCGTTCAGCGCCAAGGATTTTGTTTAAGGAAATTGTTTGATCAAGTTCAATAATTTCAAGATTTGTATGGATATCTCGAATCCAACTAGATAATTCATTATCATTATCGATAATATCACCACCTTGCGTTAATAAGTATGAAACATTTAAACGTGAGTTTAAAAAGTCAAACGTTAATGATCCAAGATCGATATTTTCAGAATTAAAGGAAATATCAGGTAAAATATCGGGTAAAATATTCTTGAGCGATTTTCCCAAGACAATCCTTTGTGAAAATAAATGTCCAAATTTGTCAAATGTATCTTGTAAAGCTTTAAATGGCTCCACGCTATTAAGTGAATTTTCAATATATTGCTTGAGATTTGCTGAAGGATTGATGCAAGCCATGGGTAAAAGGATTTCATATTGTTCATACTTGACTACAAAATGAATATAATCTTTGTTGTTAAAATTATCAGATTTAATATTTTTGTTAATAAATGGAGAGGAATTCATATCTGTATCCAAAGAAATAGAAATATTATTCGATAATAAAAATTCTTTTAAATCTGTTGTCGGCTTTATCATTTTAATATGACATTTATTAAGTGACTTGATTTCAGGTATTTTGTTGAAATTAATGCTGATTTCCTTGCTAATTTCGATTTCAAAGTGCTTGTTAAATATTAAACCCTGAAGTAGGTGAAAATCTTTAACCCATCTCGTTAAATTAACGTACAATGCATCACCGACCCACTCTTTAAAGCTTAATTTGTTTTCATAATTATAAATTCCGGGTTGTTTTTCCTTGGAAGTTTCCGAGACATCAATTGATATTCTTAGTTGAGAAACGGGAACGATATCATTATAAGAAATTATATCAAACATATTCTTTTGATATAGGTTTTGCATCCAAGTTGTCAAATCTTTGGGATTTTTTAACTCTAGTCCATTTGATGTTTCTATCTCTGGAAAAAAATCCCATTCGTATACATCGTTGAGCGGATTTTCTGATTTATATTTAGCTGAATTATATATCCATGTTAAAAGTGACCGTACTATATCATTCTGTATTGGACTGGCTGATTTTAAATTTTTGATAAATAATTTACCGCCAACCAAAACTTTCCTTGCAAAGAAATGTCCATATGAACTTTCGTCGTCATCATCCGTACATTTTGAAAACGTTTTCAACAATTCGCCTTTATAAGAGAATTCAGCAATTGGAAAATTAATACAAGCATCGGAAGGTTGTAAGTGCGAAACTTCACTTAAATTAACAACGATATCATTGTTGAATGAGAGTAAATTGATATGAGATTTTGGATCGTTTACATTAGTATAAACTATGGGCTCTCCCTTATAAAATCTTATTTTTAAATTTCCATCTGCAAAAATGGCTTCTTTACTTGATCGTATGCTATGTCCATCCAAGAATAAACCATGTTTCAAATTGAGTTGTTGTACTATTTGTTGCTCCGTTGTTAGACTTGCCGCAGTAGGAGGTGGTTCGGACATTTTTTTTAAATTTTTTTGAGAATGAAGAATTTGAGAAAAGGTTTTTAAACATAATGAGGAACGATCTACATTTATTAGCCAAAACATGTGTCATCTGATTCTTATGAAGAACCCCGACATGATGCTGGATCCGGGGGATCGTCAGACTTTTTGTGTTCCTCGGGTCAAAATTATTTTGATTTTTCATTTGTGAATGGTGTTACGGAATATGTATAAAAAAATATGTATAAAAAAGAAGGAAAATCATTATTATATTCAGAAAAAAAGTTGTTCCATCACGAATCAAACAAAAATGTTTGCATACGAATTTCGTTCAATGAAGGAAACAGATGACGATGAAAAGAAAAAAGGAAAAGAGAAGGAAG